TATGTATTCATTGTCTTTCTTCAACACGTTTCCTTTTCATTTTAGAATTTTTGGATTTAATTAAGAATTTCTGTTATTCTAAAAAAAAAAAAAAAAAAGCATTTAGAATGTATAGAAAAAAACTTTTAATTTTATTCCTTTAGTAATATATTACAATTAATTATATATAATTTAGTAATATATTATATTAATAATACACTAAGACATATTAGATGAATCTTTTAAATTCTAAGTTTTAAATTTCTTTATTAATAAAAAAATTGCTTTCTATAACATCTGACCGCATGATAAGATTCAAAGCATTTTTTATATTGTTCATGCTTAAGTCTAGTGAAAAGTAGAGAAAATAAAGGGAAGATAAATATGTAAAGAAAAAGATTCTAGTATCAGAAGTAAAACATTCAAATATTGTTTTCATTGCTCTTCCAGAAGTTCTTGGAAAAGTAAGAAATTGATCGCTGTAAAATACATCCATTACGTGTTACTACCATGCAGACATTTTTCATTTTGTCACATATTTCTGGAAGCTTCTAGATTCGTGGGTCGTTCTAAAATTTCCACGCCGCAATGCCTAAAATTCTAAAGAAAAGTTATCGCTGCCATTTCTGTAACAGCAAAAATCCAGAAATACTTTGAAGGGGGCGGGGGAATCAAAGGAAAAAAATTTTAAATTCATTTTATACAGAAAACTTATGCATCTGAAAAAATTACATACGAAAAACTCTTACTATGAAAAAATTAAAAAGAAGACATTTTTAATTAATTACATAGCTAATTTTGCTTTCGCAAAGAACTTTTTCATAAAGTATGCTTTATAGTATTATACCTTGTGTATTTTTCAGATTCAAAATATTGCATAATAAGTTGCCAAAATGGAACTTTATAATGTGACAGCGAAAAATAAAAATGTCTTATTTTAATCTTATTTTTTAAGTATAATTTCAATATATTACCATTATTTTAATGAAATTTATCAATGTTACAATGTTAAAAAAAATAGTCAAAAAATTCCCAGATATTGGAATTAAAAATTTTCTCTTAAAATTGCCAAATTTAGAACCGTTTAATAAAAGAATTCATAACCCCAAAAGGGAAAAGTTGTTTAAGAGTTCTTCATTAGAAAAAAAATGAATTTCAAAATGGTTATGTTTCAGTTCTTGATTAGAAACTTGAGTATCCCACCATTTATATTAGAAATAGGAACAAATTATAATCCATGAACCCATTCAAAAGATAACCATACATATCAGTGAATCTCCAAAATGCTAATTCACATTCAAATTACAGTCGTACAAACAGACAGAAATTTCAGATGATTAAAATTAAGGACCTTCTACCAATTTTGGCCAAAATTAAGGACAAAAAATCGATTCTGATTAACCTAAGGAATTTTAAGGCCTGTACGAACCCTGCAATATATCAGCGGTGCCCAACCTTGTGCTCGCCAGTCCGATTATGTACTGTGAACAAAAGATATTTAAAAAAATAACCATTCATTTATATTTCTTAATTGTCAAAATGTGGCAAGCATTTATAGTCATACGAGATAGCTTGCAAGTTATAGAATAATTGATTGCTGACTGATGAACTTGATGGCGAACATGGAATCTTATTGCTTCATTACGATGTTAGATGGCTCAGCAGGGAAAAAGTATCAACGATTTGTAGAACTTCTTTTGCCAATAAAGCAGTTTTTGGAATCCAGAAACGAAAGTTATAAAGAATTGGACGATAATAATTGGTTATCCAATCTGTATTTTCTCATGGATATAACAGTTAAAGTGAAAAAACTGAACAAAGATCTCCACGGAATAGAAAAAACCCTTTTTTCAATTGACTGGGACTGTAACTGCTTTTCAGATAAAGTTAAATTTGTGGATAAATCAGATGAAAGAAAACAATTTTACCCATTTGCAGAATTTATCAAGCCATATTAATAACCACAAGGCAATCGAAACAGAGAAATATTTGGAAAACTTTAATGCTCTGAAAAAAAATTTTGAACTCCACTTCTCTGATTTCCATAAAGCTCAACTAATATTCATCTCAAACCCACTTGCCAAAATTAATATTTCAGATGTATCACATAAGATTGGAAATATGTTAAATATGTTGAACTAAAAGTTGATGTTTTGGAAATGTGCTCGCGATAGGCCAAAGGTTGGGCACCACTGGTATAAATGATCTAAACGTCTTCAACAAGTCTTCTACAATGTTTTTTCCCAGCTTTTGTATGATGATCATACTATGGCTTCTGCTTAATTATGTGCTGATTTTTGTTCTTGCATTTTCCACAATTTGAAGTTTTAATGACTCTTCGGGTGTAAGTGGTATTTTTCTTGTACTTCTGTATGTCGCTGAGCTGGTAATTCTAACACCTTATTTGTTGCAGCACTTCTATAAGCTAACAATGTTAAGTAATTTTCAGCTCGAGCTTTCTTATAATTTCTTCACAAACTTTGTGCATTTTTTCTTAGATAATGTATCCTATTAAGAGATATTATCAATGGTACACCATACCTTGAAAAATATTTTATATAACTGATCACTATCTGATTTTGAGTATTCAGTAATTTGGAGATTTCAAAAAAGTTCAAATAATAACTATAATTAATAAATGTATCTCTCTGTTTATTTCAAAAACCCATGTCAACTTATACCAAGATAAAATAGAATCATCATGAGGTATCATGGGTTCTCTTACATCTTTATTCTGATATTCATTATATATAGGACATTTTGAAATTTGATCTACAATCCGTTTATTCACAAGAGGCTAAAACCAGTGTTGCATCAACAGCATTATTGCACCTCAGCAAACCAGTGTACCGGGGTAGCTGCGACAAGCAATCACAGAAATGAAATGTAAGTGGATAAGCAAGGAATTTCTACGCTAACGAAGACCCCGCACAAGCACCTATGCATTAAGACAGCCACGGCTAAAACAACACATTTTTAGCTGTTTTATTACATTTTTTCTATACTGAAACAACAGTTGACATATTCAGAATTTAATTTTGAAGGTGCAATAGACAACACAATAACAATTATTTACAATTTTGCCATATAAAAATCATGTACTTGCAATTAAATAAGCTTATTTAAGCACTATAAGTACTTAAAAAAAGTACTGTTATTACAGGTAATGAACTGTTAATAAAAAAAGCTTTTTTCTTATCTTTTTTTAAAAAAACAAGTTCTTCCCTATATTTCACAATAAAGCTTAATTTCCTATGCTTTAATTAAAAAGCATTTGCTTTTCCATTGATTCTTTCCAAAATTTTATTGCAAGCATTTATGATTTCATTTTGGGGGGGGTGAAATACACTCTAACATAAAAAGAGATACGCCTACAAATTATCTGAATGGAATGAAAATCAGTAGATGTATTGAAAATAAGCAGCAAACAATATCATAAGAATTCAATGTTTTATTCAGGAAATACAGCTAAAGGCGATAAAAAATCAATATGCTTTTTCCACATCTGGCTGCGATGCCAGCAATTACTCAGCTAGGCACTGACTAGTCGAAATGGCGAGTTAGATCAGCGCAATTGAAGGACGGTAGAAGACATCTATTCATGAAAGCCCAAACATATTTTGTCGGGAAGAGATCTGAAAATCGTGCCGGTCAGGAACTGTTGGAGAATCCTGAAGACAAGCAGCAGAAAGACGTGGCGTGTGCAGCAAACAATTATCCTGTTGATATGCATGTCCAGGGTTCCATGAAAGGAAAGGCAATACTATGGAACATAGAAACTTGTTGGCATCCCCGTGCTGTATGGGTGCCACAGATGACAACCAAAGGAGCCAGATATCAAATGAAATAGCAGCCCATACCACAAATCCTGATTGTCTGACAACACTCAGGTGATTATCCTGTCTCTGTTCTGGACATGTCCGTACAAGTCTTCGCTGCTCACCAAGACTCAGCACTGAAAACAATTATTTTGCAGTTGGTAAGATGACAAATCGAATGTGCTGGGCAGTGTGTAGTGGTGAGGAGAAGTCAGCGCAATGGCCTCTGTGACCTCAGTCCTCGTTTGCAGAGTTGCCTGTCAATGGTCACTGGAGTCACAGTTATATGTCAGAACATGAATAAGAAAGCATCAGGGGCTGTAAGCGTCCATCACATTGTTTTGTGATACATTCAACATGCAATAAGGCAGATTCTTACTGATGTAAAGAAGATGCAGATGTTCTTGTTATTATGATTAACCTAAAATCGGGTAGATTTATCTGATATTGTTTTACCTACATTAAGGGGGATAGTAGTTTATATAGTATGGTAGTAGGTCGAATGTTGGTACCTTGTGAAGAATAATTCTCTACAAGATAAGAATGCTACATGGTAACAGATAATATAATAATGGGTAAATTTTTCTGTTAAGTCTCCCCTAGCATATTACAGCATTTCTAATGACTGCTTGAAAGGTGCATTGACATGATCTGGCAGCATCATTTGCATCGTCGAAGGATTCTCTACTTGGTAACATTGCAAAATCTATTAACCATTTCAAGGTCTTAACCCCCCCCCCAAAAAGAGCTATGCAGTGAGTTATTCTTGATAGCTTTACTAAATGGTGAAAGCAGATAAACACAAAGAGATAACTTAAATTTATTCTAACTTACCACTGTGAGGGTCAGATTATATATATAAATCTAGAATTAACACTTCAGTTGAATTTGGCACTTAAAGAGTTTCTGTGTTTACAAATCTAAGTGTTTTCTACATAAGGCTAAAACCTATGGGTCGGGAACTAAAAGCTAGCTCAAATTTTAACTTACCAATCAATCCACAGTCTTAAGCTTCTAATACCTTCTCAAGCAGTGGCACTTCACTTGCACACACATGCAACATTTATCTTTCGCTGTGATTATTTAATAAGTGCATGTTATTTAAATCTCACAACTTTTTAGCATCTGTTAGCAATGTGTAAATACATACGTAAAATTACTGTATTGTTCATAATTTTATTTAGTATTAAATTACACAAAAAATAAAAGCAATATTTTTTTATTTAAAATGATGGTGTGGCACTTCTAAGCATGTGTTGAAATGGCTAAGAAAAGAAATAAATGATTCACAGAATTATTTACAATAAAACTAATACAGAACTGAAGAATAATCTTTGGTCACAAAATAACTCATGCAGATTCTATAGTGCTAACCAAGGATGTGCTTCTTGGCTGGCCCGACTTCGATCTCCATAATCATAGCTCAATTCTTCACCTGGTTCAATGTCTCTCAGAGCAAAAAATACAAGATGTGGATTGTCTTCAATTAAAAAAACCTGTGTTTTAAGATTTCCATTTTTTTTACTATGATTCACAAGTCTTCCCACTCTTGAAGATTCTTTAGTTGAATCCACACAATATGTTTTACTTTTGTTTTTAAAATAATACATATAACAGCCAGAGTTTTGAGCAGCATAAATGGGCTCTCGTTTCTTTGCTTCCTCATAATCAATGAGTTCACCAAAATATTCAAGCACAAAGTCTCCCCGTTTAATTGATTTTAAAGTTATCACCCCTCTTCCTTTACCAGGGAATTCTTTAATCTCAAATCCTTCTTCCACACCATTAAGGATAGCATCTTCAACTATTTTCCGCTTTTCTTTCTGAAAGTATACCATATATTGAGATTTCTCCAATTACAGATAGAAATAATTCATACAGTCAAAAGTCTTTAATCCGGACTCATCGGGACTTCGGCGATTCCGGATTATCGGTTTTTCCGCATTATGGATCATGAGTTTAAATCTGGTAGATGGCATGCAGAAATTATAAAATTAAAAATATGAAACCGTAAATTTATGAAATAAAGAGCAATTATGATCTAAAGGGTATCAAAATTTACACACACCAAAAAAAACAAAAAAAAAAAAAAAAAAAACTTAATATTTATTTGTTTACTTTATTAAACATTTCTTTCAACGCGCGCATGCGTAAAGCATACATTATGCATAGTCAAAATTAGAAAATTGCAACCAGAAAACTATTTGATGTGTATTCGTGATATTTATAATGACGAGGAAATTGATTTAAATTATATCGGAGTACATCGAGATGAAACACTACACTTAGTGAGAATTATAAGCCGAATAAAATAAAATCATCTGCCCTGAAGATGAGGATAGTGCTGACAAGATCAACTTCCAGTTCATTGCACGTCGCAACGTTCCTCCCCCCCCTTCCGCAGAGCAGAGTGAAATTGATAAACTGATTTCGGAATGGTTAGAGAAACAAATCACCTCTCTGTCACTTTCTTCATGCCTTTATCCATTTTTTGCAGCAGTTCTACTTTTTGTTTAATGGACATCGAAACATGATTTCACTTTGCAGATCCTTTGGGAGCTCCAGCATCAGAAATTCTATTTGACATAATCGAAAGTTCAAGCTTACTTTTATAAAATTGCTCTAACAGCCTGCAAAAAAATAATAAGCTGGATCCAATTCGAAGATTAAGGAACAACGCAATCTGCAACATTAACTGAAATAGATAATTTTAACTTAGCTTATACCGTCCGTTATACAATAAACGTGCATGCATAAACGTATTGTGCACATGCGTGAACGAATTATGCGTTGATGCATGCGCAGAATGTTTGCGGCTTTGAGGTCCGGATTAACAACTTTTGACTGTATTAAGTTTAATAAAAAAAATTAAAACTGATATTTTTGTTAAAAACTATGTAATAGCAGAGATTATTTGCACAAAATACAAGTTTTAGTTTTCTACTTAAAATAATGCATTGAAAAATCTATTAATGATAAAGAAAACATTAAAAAAAATTAAAGGGAGAAAAATTTACTTTTTTAAACAATTAAACAAACAAATTACAACAACAAAAGTAAGATACTACATAGAAATCATGATTATTCATATATGCCCCTGGCTGATTCCCTCCCTTCAAACTAGTATTTGAGGATATCAAGCTTGAGATACTTTTGCAAGAAAATAAAATCTCAGGATTTTTGACACAGTGAATCTCCTTATAAGAACTTAGGGCAAAATTTAAAAGCTTAATGCTAATTTATAACTAGAAAACACTGATGCTTGATGATGTGAAGTACAAAGATTCCTCTGATTAAAAAGTTACAACATTAGGCCTCGTTGTAACTATTCATTTTTGTTCAAGATTTCAAAACCTAAGAAAGCACATAAGTGTGAAAATAAAAGGTAAGAGAAAAATAAGGAGGAAAGAGAAATTTAAGATATTACAAGAACAGATTTCAATGGAAGCCAGCAGAAAAAAAGCAAAAGAGGCAACGAAAAAGCACAAAAATGAGTAAAAAAATGTTAGATTATATGAAAGGATAAATGCAACTCAAATTTAATCGCATCATAACAAAGTGTAAGTTTATTATACTGTCTGAAAGAATACAACCACTTTAAGTAAAAGTGATTCTAACCCTTGAATTGGTACAGTTACTTTTATCCATTCACTTAAGTACAGAGAGGTATCTCACATATAAATATAAACTGCACTGTATAACACTGCTTATGAAGATGCTATGAACTTTGTGAGGTTTATCTATTTATTCTTAACTAAGAGTTAATTTTAAGCTGAAAGACTTTCCTATCACTCTCTTTTCACCCACGCTTTTCATGCCAGAATGTAAAGGAGTTTATTCAGATTGGGGTAGAAATAAGTGCTATTTAAGCAAGAGTTTTGGAAGTCAGTTTTAGAGCGTGTCTGCCTATTCCAGGGCATGTTTTTTTATTAGCAATTTGATTTAGTGGCGTTGAGTGCTCCTAGCCATTTGGCATTGTCTTGCCGGTTTTCTCTACACCAGGGTCTTGCTTACGCATTAAATTATTCTGCGAGTCGTTAGGCAAATCTACCACACTTTGAATTTGTTCAACTTTATGTATTTCTGTTCAGCTTCTAGCACACACGTATGCGCAAAATTTATGTATATATATAGTATACTTTAATTTGAAAGGTTTATTAGAGCTATTAGCAGCCTATATGCCATCAGAAATTTAACTTCAGAGACCTACAAGTATTCACTGGTTTTATATATAACTCAGCCATACCATTTTTGAAAAGACTAGTATGCATATGAATTTGATCTTATATCAACTTGAATGTGAAAACTGAAATCAACATGCATTACAGCTGATGTTTTTGACCAAGAATCATTGTACCATCAACAAAAAGAATCTAGAGGAAGCCAAAATATTTACTAATTTTCGGTATATTGAATTATATATCAAAATTTTAATAAAACATGTAAGATTTTGCTTTTATAATATAGCAATAAAATTCTTTTTCATTGCTCAATAAAATCATTTCATATTTTTATTAGAAATTAATACAATAGATTTAAAAATTTAAACTGAGATATATTTACAGTTATTTTATAATGATAACAATGTCCAAAAAATTGGAAAAATTCAATAACTTTTCAAGTTAACTACAATTAAAACAAACAATAACAAAAACATTTGGGTTTTTTCGAATTTGACAACACAGTAATTATTTTTTGTATTCTCTGATAAGATGAAGTTACTGTGTGAATGATTACTTTGGCTTATACTTATGATAATTTGATAATTTCGTTTGATTATGATAATTGATTATGATAATTTTGTTTGGCACTCATAAAAATAATAATATGACAATAAGACTAAACACACTACCATATTTTGACATCCTCCCTGTAATCACTCTATTATTTATTAGGAAATAAATAAAAGAAATATTAATAATAATAAATTAAACAAACCATCCTACCATTACATTTAACTGTGTTTTTCTATCACTTCGTCTGACAGGAAAGTAATCCGTCAATTGAGTATTACGCAGCTGAGGCATTTGTTTCCTATAACAAGAAAGAAATATACATGATTGATTGATTAAATACATAGTGAGTATACAATTATTCAGTACTTATACCATACATTTTAAAATATTCATACAATTATATATATATATATATATATAATAATTATTATTTGTACTACTTCATGAAGATTTGATCTATTTATACATACGTTTACTCTATATCAGGGGTTTCAAACTTTTTTGCTCCATGCACATCTTTCACTATTGTTAGAAGATCATTCCCAAAACTCATAAATTAAAGATATAGATTTAGATGATTTTTTAATACATTTATAAAAAACTAAACAACAAAAAGTGTAGAAAACGTTCATAAATACCAAAAACTGGAGAAAGTATTTTATATTCATAAACTAAAACTTAATACTTAACAGCTAAATAAAAGACAGACAGCATTCCCCCCTGAAGCTATGAAATTCCAATAGGAAGAACCCCTGCTCTATGCATAATAATTTTATTTTATTTTATTTTATTTTTTAATGAAACTGTGAATAGTTAGAAAGTACATTAACAAATATACAGTGAAAAGTTAATGTATTCAGAGTTTGTATACAATTCTCTATACAAAAATTAAAAGGTCCATCAACCAACATGCATGCATACGCACACACCATTCTAATAATAGCACAGAAGTATATATGATGTGTTATTTAACATAATATTTTTAATCCAACCATGGCTGAAGCAAAACTGACATTGAACAGATTCAAATTATAACTTCACTTACTTAGTTTTTTTCTTTGTCACATTTTCAGTCAAGACTTTTCCCTTCTCCTTCTTTATATCATTTACAGATATCTCTCCATCAGATCTTACACATTTTTCTTTCTCTAATTTTGTAAAGAATTTATTATTATACACAATATATATTGAAATTTCTTAATGAAAACATTTTAAATAATAATTTGATAAAATTTCATTTGGAATGAAAGAAATCAAAATCTTATGTGCTGAATCATTTTTTAATGTATCAAGAACATTCAAAAGTCAAAAGAGAGAATCATTATATATATATAAAGAGAGAGAGAGAAAAACCTGTAATTACCTAAAGGCATTACATATTTTTAAAAATAAAATCTAACTCTATCACTCCCTAGTGGATAAGGTTAAGGTGATTAGAGGAAAAAAAAAAAAAAAAGAATCATATTTGTTTTGATCAATTGTGAATACATTGCTTAATCCTCTGACTGCTCAATTTGTGGACCGAAACCGCTTAAAAAATTGTGTATTTTTTATTTTGCATATTTTAAATTTATATATATTAAAGAATTGAAAAATGCATTTTTTCTTCACGAGAAACTAAGTTGCCAGAAAAACCAATTTCAGATGCTATCACCCACCAAAAATTTTTTAAATAAATTTCTGTTGAATTACAGTTAATTTCTATTTATTGCATATGATAAAAAAGTAAAATGTATAAAATTTAAGAAAATTTAAAGCACTGAGGAAAAAATATCTTAGAAACGCAGTTTAGTATGATAGAGTTCAAGTTTAATGAATTATAATCAGAGTCAACACTATTTGAGGAGCAGTCCGAAAAACCTGTGTCACTATCACTATCGCTATCAAAAGTAAAAACTAAAATCACTTTCACAGTCTGATAAGTCATCAGGAATATACTCTCTGTCAATCACTGAATGTTTTCTAGCAACCATTTCTATAAGAAAAAAGTGGTAAAAAGCGAAGTTTGAGCAGTAATACCACGTGCCTTCAAATGCTGCAATTTAGTGGACAATTAACGATATCTGTTGGCCAAAACATAAACTAAACATCTACTACTGTATATAATTTATTTCAATGGGTTTAAGAGGAAAAAAAGGAGATGCACTCCTCAATAAATGAAGAAAAACACATTCCCACGAAAATCACAGAATGAGCAGATTTTGCTACATTTGAGTTGGCCGTGGAAATCGCAGGATGAGCAGCCAGAGGGTTAATACAGAAAATGCCTTATCATGAAGGAATGCTCAAAAACAACATGAAATTATAACCATACATGTTACAGAATAAATGAATTAATCTTCACATGCAAACAAAGTTCCATTAGTTTACAATAGAGTGAGCATCATGGAGTGAAACGTGAATTGGCAAAGCATTCCTGATTCTAATGTGGCATAAAATCCAGTGAATATCCAAATAATGCATTGGAACATTATGGACTACATGAGATTAAAATGTGCAGTTCATCTTCATGTAAAGTAGTCAATATATGTAAACCATGTTATGCAGATTCTGGATTGGCGAAAGAAAAGAAGATCAGGTCAGCCAAGGAAATGTCTGCACACTCTGCAAACTATTTAGGCTGACCTCAGTTGTATATGATCAAATAATATACAGCTGAATATATTGCGTTATGGTGGCCTATATATATGGTACTGCTACAAGTAGCACCCTGACAACAAAGCAATGTACCATCCACATGTAGTTGCCTTAAACTAAAAAGCATCAGCTTTGAATAAAAACTTTATTGATATTCTAAAACATGAAATATTCTTTAAGAAAAATTGCCTGCATCACAGTGCGGCTAAGAACACTATTCTACTGAAACATAAGCATAAACATGAACTGTTGCCATTCACACAAACTCAATCGTATAAAGCATGTTGCCAGTAACAAGATTATTGTAAATCACAACATAAAATTAAACAGTGAGAAAATAAATAAGGCAAAGAAAAAAAGAAATACAAAGATTAAATATACATCCAACAATGTGCCTGTAATGTGCTCTAGAAGCAAGTGGTAATGCAAATCATGTTGAAAATGTGATATTCTAAAATGTCAGAAGAATTCCATGCACTTCTGGTTCAACAATATTCTAAGCAACTACAATATCAGTTAAATTTATTTATTTAAATTTATTTACAATAGTTTGACTTAAACTGACAATAAATGCTTTATTATTTTTGAATTAATATGGAAAGCAATTAAATAATTTTCTCAATAAATACATAAATAATCACAGTGAAAAACATGGCAGAACTCTTCATTTAAAGATGATTAAAGGGGAGTTAAATATGTAAGTTCTGAATATAAAAAAGAAGAAACTGGATAAGAACTCAAAATAATGATTTATTTCTTTTTGTTAAATTTTTTAAAACAATGCCATAAACCTTATTTTACTGATGCCTTTTGCAATGTGTTGAATGGTGTGGGAGTGTATACAATTTCTAAATTTTACGTGAATAACGCAATAAAGTAAGTACCGATAATACTGCATTCTTTATGATTTTGCAATGGATTGGTGAGAAAGTTTTCTCATTCTGACATTAAAAAAAAAAAAAAAAAAAAAAAATTTCTATGTATCAACATTAATAACACCCTTCCATCTATTCATCAACTTACTAGTGTCACTTTCATAGAAATATCTTCAATTCTAGAAGAAAAAATTATAAATTTAGGAAGCTAAATGATTTCTTCTCCCACATTTCAGTGATTCTACAATATTAAAAACAAATGGCAATCTGAAGACAATACTGATGAAATATACAGCACGAATGATACGAGGGCCATCCAGGAAGTAGATTACGTTTCCGTCTGTGTCCGCTAGGGGCGGGGCTAGCGCGGCCATCTTGGGGTCAGAGCGTTGCGCAGCTCAGTCTGCATTTAGCCGTGCTAGTGAGAGGTTCGTGCTGTGCTCCGTTCAGATACTGTGACGGTTTGAAATGTCTGCGTTAATTGAAAATCCCGCGAGCTGCGCTCAGTAATAAGGTTTCTGACTGCAAAAAAACTGTAAACCGATAGAAATCTATCGGCAGCTTCGTGAAGTGTATGGGGACAACATTATCACTGAAGGTGGAGTGCGTCAGTGGGTCATAAGATTTCAAAATGGCCGACCAATGTTCACGACGAAGATCGAAGTGGGAGACCCAGCATAGTGACCGCCGAACTTCTCGAAAAAGTCGATGCTAAAGTCCGTGAAAAAATCGAAATTTCACAATAACGGAACTTTCTTTGAGTTTTCCACAAATTTCGCGAAGTTTGTTGCACGAAATCATCAGCGAAAAGCTTGGTTACCACAAGTTTTTGTGCAAGATGGATTCCAAAAATCTTGACAGAGGACCACAAAAATCAGCGAATGGCTGCAGCGTTGAACTTTTTGGACGCTTACCATAAGGATGGTGACTCTTTACTTGATCACATCGTTACTGGTGACGAAACATGGGTGAAACATGTGAACTGTGAAACGAAATTGCAATCAATGCAGTGGGGGCACACAAGTTCTCCCCAAAAACCCAAGAAATGCATGCAAACAATGTCGGCAAGGAAGATGATGGCGACTGTTTTTTGGGACAGAAAAGGTGTAATTTTGGTGGACTTCCTGGAAAGAGGCACTACAATAAACTCTCAAAGGTATTGCCAAACTCTCCAAAACTCAGAAGAGCAATTCAAAACAAGCGCGAGGAATGTTGAGTTCTAAGATCTTGTTGATTCACGACAACGCCCGGCCCCACACGGCAAATATCACTCGTAAAGTTCTTGAATCTTTTAAGTGGGAGTTGTTTCCTCCCCCTCATCCGCCGTACAGTCCCGACCTGGCACCGAGCGACTTCCACCTATTTCCAGCAATGAAGAAGTGGCTGGCTATGCAGCGTTTTGATGACGACGCACAGCTGCAAGAAGAGGTAACGAAGTGGTTGAAGGCGCAGGCGGCCGAATTTTTCGACGAAGGAATTTCCAAGCTCGTACATCGCTACGATAAATGCCTTAATTTGTATGGTGACTATGTAGAAAAGTAGTATTTGAGTGTGGCTTTCATCTGTATATAATAAAATTTGTTTCCTATACTTTGTTTATTTTTTTATTCCAAAACGTAATCTACTTTCTGGATAGCCCTCGTATTTCTCAGCTACACTTCATGTAATTTCTGTACCACTTGAACCAAAACTGGAGGCCTGCCTTTATTACTACAGCAAAAGTTATGTAATACAGTCAAAAGTCGTTAATTCGGACACCCATAATCCGGAATGATCTATAATCCGGACCTCAAAGCTACAAACTTTATGTGCATGCGTCGCGTTCACGCATGCGCACAGGTGTTTACGAGAGCGCATAAGACCCTTACGGCTGCGAATATGTTTGTGCGCATGCGCGTTTAATGTGTAACTGAGTTATACGCTAAGCTAAAGTTATCTAATTCAGTTAATGTTGCAGATTGCGTTGTTCCTTAATCTTCGAAATGGATCCGGCTTATTATTTTTTGCAGACTGTTAGAGCAATTTTATAAAAGTAAGCTTGAACTTTCGATTATGTCAAATAGAATTTCCGATATATATTTACTACAAAGCGAAAGTATGTTTTGAAATCCGAAATCTGTTTATCAATTTCATGTCCCCGATTGGAAGTTGATCTGTCAGCACTTTATCTTCAGGGCAGATGATTTTATTTTATTTGGTTTATAATTGGGTACTAAGTGTAGTATTTCATTTCCATGTACTCCATCTTTGATATGATTTAAATCAAGTTCCTCGACCCAGAGGTTATTGAAAACGAAAACATTTCGATTGACAAATTAGTCGGTATTCTCAACACAGCAATTATAGGACTTAAACAGCGGAACTTTGTAACTAAACAAGAAATTATATCTGTTTAATAGAATTAAAGAGAAAGTATTATCACATGAAACGAAGCAACTTACATTGAAAGAAATGTTTAATAAAGTAAACAAATAAATATTAAGCTTTTTCTTTTTGTAAATTTTGATACCCTTTAGATCATAATTGTTCTTTATTTCATAAATTACGGTTTCATATTTTTAATTTTGTAATTTCTGCATGCCATCTTACCAGATTTAAACTGATGATCTATAATCCGGAAAAATCGATAATCCGGA